CTCTGGGTGCTGTGGTTCCTGGCAGCCTGGACGGCCGGGATGCTGGAGAACATCGACAAGAACATCCCGCTGGTGATCCGCACCCAGACCACCCGTGGCCTCCACTTCTACATCTGTGGCCACGACCGCTGGGACTACATGATGGTGATCGGTGAGGACACCCCCTGCGGTCGTGGGGGTGTGTCCCCCTCCCCAAGCCCCAGGGCCCCATCCTGTCAATGCAGCCTGTAGGATTTTGATTTCCTCATCCGTTTAACCTGCTGGGAGCCTGCAAATGGGACCAGGGTGCCCGAGCTGCTTCCCACCCTCCTCTGAGCACCCCCAGGACTCACCCTGGTGCAGGGTCAATCCCCCAGCACAGGGTGATGAGTCCTGGTGCCTTCAGGCAGGCTGTGCCAGAGGATTCCCTGCACCAGAGGATTCCCACCCTCCTCTGAGCACCCCCAGGACTCACCCTGGTGCAGGGTCAGTCCCCCAGCACAGGGTGATGAGTCCTGGTGCCTCCAGGCAGGCTGTGCCAGAGGATCCCCTGCACCAGACCCCAGCTCCAACGTGTGCCCAGGGATGACTGTGCTGGCCTTGATGCTCCCCGAGGCAGGGGGCTCCCAACAGGCACCCACCCCACAGGAGCAGCAGGGTGATGGGTCTGGGTGCTCAGCACTGCTCTGTCCCGCAGCTGAGGTGCTGTTCCTGCTGTGGGGCAGCTTCCTGTGCTACGGCACCCGCCCCGTGCCCTCCGCCTTCCACGAGCCCCGCTACATGGGCATCGCGCTCCACAACGAGCTCCTGATCTCGGCTGCTTTCCACCTGGCCAGGCAGGACACAGGGCTCAGGCACCAGCAGCAAATCCCTGAAGCCAGCGGGGCTCCCTGTGCGGGTCCCCAGCAGGGTCTGGAGGTGGGGAGGGGGCTCTGGGTGCCTGGGTGGGGGAGGACCCGGTGCTGCCCTCCTCACCCCTTCCAGGTTCACCATGGTCCCCTCTCTGCACCCCGACTGGACCCTCCTCCTCTTCTTCGCCCACACCCACAGCACCATCACCATGACCCTGGCGCTGCTCTTCATCCCGAAGGTAACGCTGGGCGGGGGGGTGACGGGGCTGGGGTTCCCCGCTGTTCCAGGGACCCCCCAGTGAGCTCACCCCTCTCCCCC